TCTGCTGGGGTGGGGCATATTTTTCCCTATGTAGATTTACTGTGGAAGATCCAAGAGAAAAAGGAAGCTCTTCATGTCCTGCTCTTTCTGTCCACAGTCACAGCATATGACAATGATCCCCTCTGCAGGAAGATTTAGCCATCTTCAGTGGGTCTTGAAATGACTATTTTCAGGACAAAATAAACTTTCTCCAAGTTTGAGAAGTATAATTATCAATGACATTGGGTATTGAATCTAGGTACATCTGAGGACAAGACACTGCTATTCCTAAAGGCTGTAAGAGAAGAAAAGTAAAGGAATAGGGTATGACCCCGAGCTATGGGGTCTCCACACAACATTGTAAATGAGAATGTTCTCGAATCTATGATTGTCTGGTAACTTCCAGCAAAAGAAGGGGGTCCCAACCTTATGTCTCCATGTGCCCTGGAAGTTGAAAGTTCACTTCCTTAATTACGAGTTTGGCCTCTGTCATACACAACCTGTAACACACAACCCGCTTTATTTTTACCTGATGACCCACTAACAGGCAGAGTTTCCATCAGTTAAGCTTTTAGGCAGATTTTGGGGAATGACAGTCCTAGGAGAAAAGGGAGAGATAGATTTAAAAAAAAAAAAAAAAGGAACAGGGCTTGGACCTGTCTGTAGAGGAATTCCCTGCTGACCTGGCCACTCTGACCTATTGAATGGTCTGAATACAATAAATGCCGCTTTATCCTGCCTTGAAAGGGAGGAGATAGCAGAGTTGAAATGCCTAGGCATGCTTAAATAGGCAACTTGGGATGTTTGAGTTGAGTGTGTTTGAAATCTGAGCTCTCTGGCAGCCTGGGAATTGCCACAGGTCACCTGCCTTGCTCTACAGGGATAGGCCCAAGTCTCACCAGAGACTGTCCATAGCAGAATTGTAGTACAAATTCCTTTCTTTGTTGGTTGGCCTCTTTCACTAGACCATGGCCTATAAAATTTTGTAAAAACAATCCTTAAATATTATTTGAAAGGGCAAATGGCCCACGCTGAAAGGTTTGACAGTTTGACATATAGTGCGTGGTTTTGATAGCTTGGAAACTGCAAAGTGTGGCCAAGAGTCTCCCCCTGCTTGTTAGAAGCCTGGTGTTGGTGGACTAGTATCCTTTTGCTGTGCAGTTCTTTTGCTTCTTGAATCTGACAGGCAATGAGTCTGCTTCAGTGATCTTCAATCCTTTTAGACTAATTTGTGAGAGAGCAGAAAAGCTAGCACCTTAGAATGCAGCGTCCAAAAGCACCAAGCCAGGTACCGCCAATTAATCATAGCAAAGCAGAATCCTCTGGAGTCCTCTGCTAGCATCAGATCCTATGCCCAGAAAGTCACATAGGTGAGGGAAAAAAAGGAATGTGAGTGGCCTGGTCTGCTCTCATCAGAACCTGGCAAGTTGCAGGGAGTGGATTTCTGCATTAGAATGTTGCATACGTGCAGCAGTGTGCACGAAGGCAGCTATGGCTGCCTCTGCATAGCCAAAGGCCATTTTCAGGAGCCTCTAGCCCCTCAGTCACTGGCCTACTAGTTAATTGCCACACGGACTTCATGACACATGGGCAGATAATATGACATTTTCGGTTTCTGTCACTAGCAAACGCTACAACGTTGCTTGCACTAGTTGCTAAGAAGCTGTCAGAAGCCATTAGCAGTTGGCTAAAGTCGCCCTGTGGCATTTCCTCATAGCATCAGCAAAACGAGCATAAATCACCCACTGGAGCCCACTGCTACCCTAATGAGGCCGTAAGCTTGTTTATGGAGGAGCATCATTTTTATGATTATTTCCACCTTTTCAGTTTGCCTTCATTTGGCGGCAGGAGAAGTCAGCACCAGGAATGAAGTCACCGCTGACATTTTACAAATGGGCTTCAGAACCCCTGCCTGCTGCCGTGTGGTCGGCCGTGGTTCTCCAAGTTTGTGTAGTGATCTTAAAAATAAAAAAAGGGAAATAAATCCTCCCGAGACCACATTGAGGTGACTGTATCAAATTGCGGAGTGAATTGAAATGCTAAAGGTACAATTGACCATTTAGACTCTCCTCTGAGGTCGAGACGCTGCGAGATCAATTTTCAATTTTAGAAAGTGGAAGAGGTTAAACAATTTATTAAAATCTATGAAAGTGTTTGCTTTTAGAATACTCTGTTTTATTATGCTCTTCTCAGCCCCCATCTTCTCCATTTCCCTAACCGTGTTGGGAAGGAGCAAGGTTTATTGTTTTAGGCGTTCTGAACATGCAGCAGTATTTACACTGGATTGAAAGCATTTGCTTCCAATGAAAATCTTGTCTTAGATTACAACCCAGCAGTGTAATTTCCCTCCCAGATGGGAGTAAAGTAGCTGTATTTGCCTAAAAACAGTAGGAAGAACAAACTGTGCATTAAGCCAGGGCTGTTTTTGGCTTGAGCTAATGATGTAACAGAAACCTTTTATTCAGGAGAGGTCACTGCCAGGGACTGAAGGGGTGATCTGGCTCCTGCCTGAAAGGCTTCTCCATTGTATCTACATAAGTCTTCACTTAAAAAATTCTGGCCCTAATGCTTTTGCTTTCATACAGCAGAAATAAACAGGAAAGGTCCTGGGGAGTGTTACACGTGGAATACAGAAAGCCTCCCTCTGCTAATGGAGTATATAATTCAGGTGCCCTCAAGGCACACTTTCAGGAATTCTTTTGCCCGAGGTAATGGGAAGCTAAGGCTGCTTTAAGGCCTTGATTATCTATTAATGCACAAAGCTGGAAAAAAGTCATCTCCACTGGATTACGGTAGATATTTCCATAAATTATCAATGAATTCTCTCCTAGGCAGGCACTAGACATTGCTTGCTAAATTAATCTGAAGGGGTTTGAGATGGATAAAAAGGCTATTTTTGTGAAGGTGGAAACCTATCATGGAGAGGTGGTGAAAACAGTATTGTTGGGCTAGCTTTTCATTTTTAATCACTGATCGGGTCATATGTTTCTTTTCCTTGGCCACCCTTCGCATATCGAAAGTGGATCAGCTATTGCAAATGTGAATGCTGTGGAGTTGTTTTCTTTTCTCATGTTTCTTTAATGAATTGTTATTTTATGTGGTGAATTGCTTCTCTGTAGGAGCAGCTTCTTTAAATACTGGACTTTGAAAGAATGTATTAGGCAAACCCAAGGGGATTTCCCATGAAACACTTGGTTATGCAAATAAAGAGTGGGCAGCATTGACTTAGGTGTGTGGGTGTCTGGTCCACCAGGAACCCCAACATCAGCATGCCCAGCCATGTGACCTTGAAGCACAATACTTTCTTCATTAGTTGGATGGGTTGTGATAGCTTTGGAATTGGGAGGTCTTCGTGATCTTTTCTAGGGAGACCCATTCTATGAGCTTGGGCAACTTTCATAACTTTATATAATGTTAAGTGCACTAAAATTATAAATTTTTATAGAAGTTTACATTACTAAGCTCTGCTAGAACACATGGTGTGGTGTAGCTCTACTAAAAGTCAAAATGTTGGACTCTATCTGCTCCTTATTGATGGGGTTTATCTCAGGGCACATCAAGGCAATTGAGAAACACAGGGGGCGGGGGTCACTTTTCGGGTTACAAGGTGAAGGGTGGGTTTCCTGAGAAAACAGTTAAGAAAAATTGAAGCTCTTATTTGCGTTATAACTACTATAGATGACAGAATAAGCAAAATCAAAATAGAGGTTTCTTGTTGCATTGAGGACCTGAAGTAGAACCAAGCAATGGAGGAGGTGAAGCCTTGTAAGAAGAATCTGATGTGAGTTCCAATAGGTAGTCATCAGGCAAATTGTATTACCAAAGTGTCAAGTTCTTTGGACCATAGGTTCCCAATGACTTATTTAATGGGATGAGTGTGCCCTGGGGTGTAGTTGTTACTGCATTTCTAAGCCTTGCCACTGGAGTTCTTTATTCTGGGCCCAGATCAATCCGTCCATTCTCAAAGTCCATTACTAAAATTCACAGACAGGACAGAGGTTTCAGGTAGCTCCCTGGTGAGAAGATGACCCATCAGAGCATGGCGGCTGATCAAGTGTAGTGGGTTTAGTCCGCTGTTGTTTGTCCTTTGACTTTGGTGCAAAGATCAAAAGTAGGTATTTCTATTTTAGATCTTGTGACTTATTTTGGTTCCTGTGATTATAAGGGTAATGCTTTTTTTCCCTCATTTTGTCAAATATGGCATTATTAAAGGAAGACTGTATTATCATTTTATTGAGTCACAGAGCTGAAATATTTCTGAAAATATACAACTCAAGTGTTTATAACAAAATCAGTAGAAAAATTAGGATCCATTAGGAATACGTTACCAGGTGACATCTCAGTGTGCAATACTTTAAGAAGAAATTTTAGAAACTGCCCAGATTATTAGTGCAGTACAATTCTAGCATTGCTTTATTTTATTTCAATAGTAATTATTTTTTAATTAAAAGATGCATCAGGGGTTTTCTCTCACTAAACTTGACGCTGTTGCTACACTAGGAAAAATATCTTCTTTGAAGCATTCCACGGCAAATTGTTTATGTGATGGATTGCCTGCATTTCCCCCATCCTGCTCCAACCAGTCTTAAGATAGATCACCTATGGCAGTAGTTGCTGTATTAAATGCATCTTGTCACCAGTTGACGTCAGTGACTTTGTATGGAGTTCAAATACCCAGGCAGAGATCTCCAGTAGCAATGCCACCACACTGAACTCCCCAGTAGAGGTGTTACATATAATGGAATAATTACCATGGCAACAAGCCACTCGAGAGATGGATATTTCCCTCCATTCCTTTTGTGTTTAGCACTGATCTTTGGAAGACCTTTTTCTTTTTTAGACATGATGATTTTTGAGCTGAGACCTTGTTCTTTCTCTTTGTCTTGGAATAAAATGAAAGTACCGAAGAAACTACTAATCATTTAACTGCTCTTTTGGTTTTGTTTGTATCCAAAGGCATTCTATTTGAATAAAGTATGTTAAGGTAGCATCAGTCAAAATTTGATTCACTATGTTTGCAGGTGATGGCTTGGACAACAGTGTAGCTTCCCCCAGCACAGGTGACGATGATGACCCTGATAAGGACAAAAAGCGTCACAAAAAGCGTGGCATCTTTCCCAAAGTAGCCACCAATATCATGAGGGCGTGGCTGTTCCAGCATCTAACAGTAAGTGGATTCTAAATGACATATGTAAACTAAATATGGACAATGAACCAGTTTTGATAGAGAAAAATGACCCCCCTGGACTTCAGACATCACTGTGTTCCCAGTTTTGAACAAAGGGCTGGCACTTATTTCCTTGACCCATACCCTAATGAGGAGCTTCATTTGAAGTTCACGATTCTAATTTTGTTAATTTTTGTAAGTTACAAGGCTTGGGAATCCATGTGTACTTGTGATTTTAAGTGTATATATTATATGAAGTTGCTTTTCAAAGTGAGTCTGAAGAACTTAGAACTAGTAAAGCTAGCTAAGAAGAGAGTCGAACCTATCCCAAAGATGGTATCTGTAGTGAGTGTTTTCATGGACCTTTGTAGTGAATGGTCTGAAAAATTGGCAACTCCCTTTTGATGGCAAAATGATCATGTAATTTGCCACACAGTGACTTGAATGGACCCTTCCATTATGACCGTGCTATGAGTCAGAGCCCCCAGTGAAAGTTGTCTCTGCATTTAGAACTGTAAAGGAAAACAGCAATATACAGCCCACTCTTCCTGTGCAATCCCTGGGGACTTTTGAAGCAGAACAGCAGTTTATATTGTCTGTGTGAGTACTGCTATTTTCACTGCAGGAATTCTGGAGATGTGAGAAACAGGAGACTCAGGGCTTCATGCCAACAGGGGATTTGTTTGGTTTGGTTATTGTTCTGAATGAATTTCATGCTCAAAATATTTATAATCACAATATTTGGGTGGATATTTTGTAAGTGTATGTGGATTTAATGATGTCTAAGAAAGAAGCCAAAATGAAAATTTATGGATAAAATAATATTCTGAAAATGAGTAAAATTTTGATCAGGGCATTTTCAATATTATAGACTAATATGGACAGGTTAAAACAGAGCTACATATATGAATGGAGGTTAAAAATTTGTGACTTTGGCTTCAATAGCCTCACTATTTTTAAACTTTGGTTACTTTTCTTAATGGCCATTGCCCCTAAACATGAAAGCCCAGAGCCTGGTGACCCTCACTCCCTTCCCCACTTTTCAAACCATGTTCCTCATGAGTTGTTCTGTTCTGAAGGGACATACTCAGTGGTATCTGGTCAAAATTACTTCTGCTGTTCTGCATAGGGGCTGTGCCTCCAGTAATACTCAAGGATATAAATTAATCCATGTTCTTCAGCCCTGGTGAATGGAGTCAAAGCTGAGAGCAGTGGCAATAGTTTTCTCTTCTGTCTTCTGAATCTTCCATGGTTCAAAACATGGTCTAGACAGTATTGAGCATTCTGAGTAAAGTTCATGAGATGGTTACTACTGGAGGTTACTGGTTTTAGACAACATGGTTTTGACAATATATTGGGTTTCCTTTAGATCTGACCCTGGTTTCATTACTTAAGATTCACTGCATGTAGGTAAATCTTTTGTCATCTGCCTTGTGTAATTTACCAACTGATGATTATCAACCACTGTTGAATTGGAGAAGGGAGGACTGTGGTGTCCTGGACCTGTGATGAAAGCATTCATTTAGAGAAGAGGTGAGAATGGGTCAAGGTGCTCATGCAGGGTTGCTGTAAGTTCATCCTGAGAGCCAAGCAGCTGACCTGCTTTGCAGTAAGAGTGCAATCAGGATGGCCCTGAACTTACAACCAAACTACTGCTAGTTCCTATCTTAACAGGAAAAAGAATTTGATATCTCAGGTCCTGTCAGCCTGAGAAGGAGCTTTGGGGAGACTTGATGCTGAGATCTTTCTGAATAAAATATAATCAAATATTGGTTCAGATAGAATCAGGAGAGACAAGAACAAGCTATGTTACTCACCTGCCAGTTTTCCCAGGTTGTACCCTTGTGAAGAACCTTGCAGAGAGCTATATTGTCTAAAGGAAATTAGAACCAGACAGATACCAAATCCTTCGTAATGGCATGATTTTATCTAAACCACAATGCTTATGTGAGTTGTGTTATAGGGACAATTGTAATGGAAATTACAAACTGTGTGGTTTCTGGAAGCCTGGCTAGTTGCCCTCAGTCACTGGCCTTGGTCACTGCCCTGGAAGGGAAGTCCTCCCTCCAGGCTTCTTGGGCTTTCTATGAATGTCTGTGGAAGTTGCATTGCAATTTCTACTGGAGACTTCCGCACCCTGACTCACTCCAGTGCCATCTGCTCATATAGAAATACTGATAAAAATAGTGATTTCTCAAAAGCCAGTTGCTCTGGTGACATGGTCTGAAAGCAAAGCTAGGAGACATTGGATTTTTCGCCCCTTTCCTTCCCCATTGAGCACCCACACCCCACCCCTGTAATGGAAAGACAAAAGAGTTTCCATGGTCAAGGAATGCCCTTCCCTCTGTGATGTCTGGGAAACATTAGCCAAGTCAGTCAGGAGCAAATTCCAGTAAATTCTACAGAAAAACAAACAAACAAAAAACCTGTTGATTGGAAAGAGTATTATTGCTCCGTGTTAATACTGAGCCTATGGTAACTCCTGGAGGAGTAGTTCTTTAGGGACAGTCCCTTTGGAAGACTGTCACAAATTGTAAACTATCACATTATTTTTATGTGATTAATGTAATTTATCTGAAAACTCCTTTCAAGAAATCTGCTGTACACAAAAAAACAATCAAAACTCTGGCTAGTTTAAAAAATTGCAATGACCATTTATTAGCAAATTGTAAGTGAACTTTTCTTAAATACCAAAAGGCATATTCTATAACCTGGAGCACCTTGTAGAAAGTAAGTTGCTAGGGTGTTTTTTTTTTTGTTGTTGTTTGTTTGTTTGTTTTCCTTTATTTTAAATGAAATGGACCAATCCTTCTATTGAGGTTCTTCAGTTAAAAAGTTGAAAAACGCTTTCAAGCATTTAAGTTGCTAGTTTTTCTTCCTCCTTTTTTTTAAAAAAAGAAATAGACCAATCCTTCTATTGAGTTTCTTCAGTTAAAAAGTTGAAAAAAACGCTTTCAAGCATTTGTGTGTCAAAGGCATAGAAAAGGCTTTGCACCAAGCTGCAGGGGAAGGAAACCACCTTGGTATTTAGTTTGCCACAGGTAGATTTAATCAGCAGGCCAGGTTACTAGTCTGGAGAGCTAATGGCTGATTCTTGGACTTAGGGACTCTAGCTGTCTAACCTGCACATTCTTGTGTATGGTAAAAACAACAGCAAAGGAGACAAGTCTAAAGCGCTGGTGATTATGGCGTGAGTAGACATTTCAATGCAGTCAATCCCCCCAGCTTAGGCTTCCTGAACATTTGTCAGTGCTGCTAAGTAGGGAAAGTCTCTTAAAAGAAACGATTCCCTTCAAGAGAAAAGGATGATTGACATGATTTAGATAGCTAATAAGAGAGAAGAGGAAAAGAAATAGAAGCATTTATTCATGTAGATGCTTGCATTTGCCTGAAGACAGACTATTACACACAATTTCAAACTACTTAATATCTTCGTGAGTAAGAATAAGTTTCGGACTTATGTCAGGTCTAGATATTTCCCCTTCTCCTGGGCATCATCCCCACAGTAAACAGCCTACTGTGTCTCAGGACTTCCCCTGTGTTATAGAGATATGTTCAGGGGACTCCTGGAATAAAGAAAAGTATGAAATATTCATGTCAGGTTAAAACCAACAGTCTTTTTTTCTTCTTTTGTTTCCCTACCTGATCATATTAGATTTCAAAAACATAATCTAGATAAAAAATGATTAATGAGGGTCTTATTTAGAATGTGAAGGGACTCGCTTGGAGCCTCTGTGTGTCCCAGGCATTCTGATAGTTAGGGGAAGTGGAGATTTTTGAGGTACAGACTCAAATGGAGAAAGCTCTTGAAGGCCAACACTTGGCTTTAACTGGCAGCCAGTCTTCCCAACTCCAAGTCCTTCCACTGATAGCAGGATCTCCTCAGGTGAAGCCTTGCAAATGCTGTTTCTGAGTAAAAACAAATATTTTCTGTGTGTCTGTTTCCTTCATTGTGTGTGTGTGTGTGTGTGTGTGTGTGTGTGTGTGTGTGTGTGTGTACGTCTAGCCTGGAAAATATTTTCATATGGGTGTTGGTCAAATTCATGCCTCAATTTCTGATTTCTAAGACTTTCCCCTCATGTGGATACAGCCAGTGTGAGGGTTTGTAGAATCTTCTGGGTTGAGAATGGTGTTTCCATAGAAACACTATTAGATGAAAAGTGCCCTGCGGGTCTGCCACTCTACACATGGAGCAAATGGAATTGGACTAGGAATTGATTGCTCTAGAAGAGACAGATGTTGTCCATTGGTTCTGATCTCAGTAACAAGATCCTTTGGAGGATCTCGGTGTCAGTCTTGCTAACAGTTCTGGAAGAATCGCTCTCTAAACACCGCAATTAATTACTGCAGTGGGAGAGTTCTAATTGACATCCCTATGGCTCATTCTGTTGACCAAGGTAAGAGAAGGGTTGGCAGGCAGGTCTGTATCCATGTAGGGAGCTATTGGTGGCATTTTTTTTCCTCTTCATATTTTTATTTCTTAGCAGTGGCTATTCTTAGCCAGCCTTGCCAGCTCTGAAAGAAGTAGACCAGGTTTTAGAAGGCAGAGAGACAGGTCATCTGTATTTGTGAAAGCTTGTGCTCGAGATGTCAGTAGGGGTTATACAAAGTACTGCAGCAAGGAGATCTAAACCAACCTCAGTCCACTTTCATTCTTGGCCAAAGGAAGTGGTTCATAGTTATAGCAGTTATATGGGATGTGCACTCTCGGGTGAGTGCGTGCGTGTGTGTGTGTGTGTGTGTGTGTGTGTGTGTGTGTGTGTGTGTGTGTGTCTGTCTGTCTGTCTATCTGTCTGTCTGTGTGTCTGTCTGTCTTTCTGTAGTGCTGGGGGTGAAAACCAAGGCCCAGCCTTGTGCTAAGCCAGCCCCCTACTACTGAGTCATATCTATAACCCAAATTTTTGATTTTTTTTACAACTTCCAGCAATCCTCCTGCCTCAGCCTCCCAAGTGCTAGGATTACAGATAGGAATCATCAAGTATTATCTGCAGATGTTAACT